ATCTATCTATCTATCTATCTATCTATCTATCTATCTATCTATCTATCTATCTATCTATATATATATATATACAATAGAATAGAATAGAAACAGCCTTAATTTACCTATTTACCTTTATATTTACATCTTCATTAAATGTATTGTTCTGGATAAAGTTTTATAAGGCAATAGCCTATGCTAGGTTGTCTAAACGTTAGCTTGCTCACTTGAGAGGCATGTAGCTAATGACAAGTGGGTTGCAGTATTGAAAAATGTATTATTGTAGATTTATTTTTCAGATCAGTTAAAATAAATTCACCATGCTCTGTTCAGCCAAATACTTTGTCCACTATACAGTATTTAGATGCTTCCTACTTCGTCTGTGCTGAACATGAAAATGAAACTTAAGTGAATGGTCATGATTTGAAAGTAGTCTTCATGCCCCCTCTGCTGGATAAATTGTACAATTACAGCTGGTTCCATCATTTTTGGCGTGAAAATTAGAAGTGTTTATATTGGTGCATAATGGGACAATTATGATACAGATAGCTCCCCAAAGGCCTATATCGCCCTAAATTATCAGGACTACCGATATATTGGTTGGGCTCTAGTTGAGATGCAATTGTTTTTATTCTGCTCTGAAATTGACATCTGCTCAGAAAATATGCAGGTGTGTGAGACCTCATGTATGCATCTTTTGGTTGAAAATATGTCTTGGCTAAATTGTGACTAAATTGTCCTGAAAGTTATGACATTTTAGACCTGCATTTAGCTACAGTTGATAAACAGGTTCATTAAAAGTATGTAAAATAAGCAGTTGTCCCTCAGGATTTGATTTGGATATTTTGTTTAACAAACGCAGCATATTCCACTAAACAGCAGGGTTTTATCTTCATTACTAAAACACTAGAACTGTCTGCGCCAAAAATGCAATTTGTGAGTACATCTGCATATTCATGAATTTTATCCCCCATTTTACAACATAAACAATCATCCATATTCATTACAATATATACTTTTTTTGTAAAATTTCTTTCATCAAATCAGGAACCAAAATTAGAAAGGTCAATTTTTCTTTTAGCCCCCAGCTCTCGTGTCTCTGCTCTGTAATCATTTGCTACTATGCTGGAGGGCATGTATAAACACCAAATTATTGTTTCTTTGTTAATAAAAATCTGTTTAAGTGTTAAGGACTTTAGACTAAACCTTAAACTTTGGTTACAGCTTACTTT